GCAACCTGGGCTGGTGGGAGGTGTCCCTGCCCATGCAGGGGGTTGGATCTGGATGAGCTTTAAGGTCCCTTCCAACCCAAACCAGTCTGGGATTCTGGGATTAAACAGCAGGCTTGGAAAAATCAGAGAGGGGGTGAACCCAGACCCTGAACGTTTTGGGGGGCATCAGCTGGGGGTTCCTGAGACCCCCCCTTCTCTTCCCTGGGTTAGCCTGACCCAGTTTGTTCCTGGTGCCATGAGTTGGGCCCTTCTGACCCCTCTCTTCCCCCCCAGACCCCCTGGCCTATGAACCCAAGGCGGACTCAGAGAACCTGCCCATCATCACCATCGACCCGGCCTCCCCGCAGTCCCCCGAGTCCGTGGACCTGGTGAACGAGGAGCCCAAGGGCTGTGGTGGCCTCCCCCCCTCTCCCGAGGAGGACGAGGAGGGGCTAGTGATGCGGGTGAAGGAGCCTTCCTCCCCTGGGACCGACGATGTCTTCACCCCGGGGACCAGTGACAGTCCCAGCAACATGTCGCGGTGCCTGAGCGACCCGGGGCCGCGGCCGGAGCCGGACGAGGGGGAGCCCTTCATCCCCAAGGGGCAATAGCAGCCACCTGCCCAGCCTCCCCCCCACACTCCATGCCCTTTCTCTCTCTTTCTTTCTTCTTATTTTCTTTCTTTCTTCTCCCTTTTTTCTTCGTTTGGTTTCCTCTGGCGCTGCACCCCGGGGTTTGGGAAGGGGAGCCTGTCCTGGATGGACTGGGATGGCCAGGACAGCTCTGCTCGCCCCGAGGAGCAGGGAAGGAGCCCCCCACCCTTGGGATGCACCAGGCCCTGCAGTCCTGGTGGCCTGGGGGGTGATGGACCATTTACCACCTGGCACTGGGATCTGCAGGTGCCTCCCAGCCCCTCTCTGGGGCACATTCCCAGAGGTTACCCACCCACTCAGGACCTGCGAGGGGCAAAGTGGGCTCTGGCCGGGGAGCTGGGGGTGCCCATGGAGGCTGCATCTTCCCTGTCCTCTCACCTTGCTCCAGAGTGGAGGGAGGGGAAGAGGGGAACCAGGCTCTGCACCCACCACCTCATCCAGCACCTCGGGCTCGTGTTGCTGCTCCAGCCTTGGCCACATCCCCGTGGGCCCTCTGGGAACTTCACCTCTGGCCCTGCATTCCATGCCAGGTCTTGTTAAACAAATATCCTATAGCCATGCAAGGGGGGAGCTGGGTCCCCCCTCGCTTTGAGTGGCCCTGCAAGCCTGGGCCTCTCCAATCCCTCCTGGAATTGCTGTCACCTGTCCCCATGGGGACCCTCTGCCAGCCCCTCACCCCGTGCCAGGGGCACTGGCTGCTCCTTAACCAAAGACGACGTC